CGTGAGGCACCAATGCAATGCCGTGGCCAGCAAAGCAAACCAAACACTGGCATGCATCCACTGATGCATCTCAAGCAAAACCAGGGATGTCGTCCTCCCACTCTACTTGGCTTTAGTGAGGTCGCAGCTGGAGTAGAGCATCCAGTTTTGGGCCCCTCATTTTGGGAGGGATGTGGATAAGCTTGAGAGAGTCCAAAGGAGAGCCACCTGCATGAACAAAGGCCAAGAGAGCAAGTCTTATGAGGAGAGGCTGAGGGATGTGGGACTCTTCAGCCTGGAGAAGAGAAGACTCAGGGGTGACTTGGTGGCAGCCTATAAGTACATAAGTGGGGTGCACCAGGACCTGGGAGAACAGTTGTTCACCGGAGCTCCCCCAGGGATAACCAGGTCTAATGGCCACAAACTCCTGGAAGGCTGATTTAGACTGGCCATAAGGAAAAACTTCTTTACAGTGTGAGTGTCCAGGGTCTGGAACAGACTCCCCCCAGGTGCAAACACCTACTCTGGACTCATTCAAAAGGCATTTGGATGTTTATCTTGTTGGGATCATTTGACCCCAGCAGACTTCCTGCCTCTCGGGCAGGGGGGCTGGTCTCGATGATCTCGTAAGGTCCCTTCCAGCCCCTAATATCTATGAAGGTCCTGATTCTGGGTGCTGAGCACTCAAAAAAAATCTGGCTTGCTCTGTGTGTTGCCTGTCATGCTGCAGTTTGCTCTGGAGTTTACATTGCTGCCTCCGCCTGTGGCTTACTTGATGTAGCGAAGGAGCCTCCGTGTTAATTTTGGCAGGGTTCCCCTCCTTGCTTTAGAGCTCAGGTCGTTTTTTAGGTATTGGGGATCAGAGCCCAGTTAACACCGTCTGCCTGTAGCTGGGCTCCTGCATCATCGTATGACGGTCGCTACAGGAAACGAGATGCCCGGTTCTGATCCAGCGTTCCTGGGATCTGATGCATCGTGTGCAATTTCTGCCCTGGGTGAATACTGCAAAATGGCATTTGTGGTCATTGTTTTTTCCAAATAAAAACCCCACTGACTTGCTGTGTCGTGGAATGTGCAGGCCTTGGTATTTTCATCTGCTCACGAGCGCGGGCAGTTTGAAAGCCGGCCTGTTTTTGCAAAGGCACAAGCACTTCTGGCAGATGCAGTCACTTCGGTTTCCCTCCTCCTGTTTATAAAATAAATAAATTAGTCATGCCAGCAGGGAGCAGAAACTGTGATGCCCAATTATACAGCAGCAATGCTGATTAATTGAAGGCACTTGACGTGACTAGTTAACGGCAAACCCCACGGTCTGAAGAATGCTGATTGCAGGACACTTCATCATGTTAAACAACGTGTTGAGACATGGATAAGAAGTAAAACAAAAGAGGAGGCTAAATTCATTGAGTGAATTATTATCTTGGTACAGTTAGCTGGGCTGTTGCTGCAAAGGGCTGGATGATGAGGCTCTGTACTTGCTTCTTCCTTTCACTCCTGAAGGTGGATTTCCAAGAGCCTTTCTGCTATGATTTTCATCTGAAAGAGTCGGTATCAGTAGACCTGTGCGAGTTGGCAGCGATCCTGCCAGCAGCTAAGGGTGCAGGGCCCCAGACCCCCCCTGCACCGATCTCCTCCACAGCTGGCACGTGTCGTGGCCACAGCAGGGGCTACCATCCCTGCAGGGGCCACCATCCCTGCAGCTGTCACCCCGCTGCGCCTTAACACGCGCAGGGTCACCCATGGCACCAGTTTTGCTTGTCCACAGCTTGAGGGGCAGTTCACCCCCAAACCCGTGCACCAATTTTCTTGAAACTTGGCAGGCTTTGTGGCCTCAGCATAGGCTACCACCCTTACAGTTTTGACCCCCCTGTGATGTAACACATAGATGTGACAGGAGTTCGGCTTTCAAGAATTTGGCGTGCAGTTTCCCCCAAACCCCTGCACCAACAGTCTTGAAACTTGGCAGGCTTCATGCTCTCTGCAGAGTCCATCACCCCTGAAAATGTCATCCAAATCGAACAAAAAAACCAACACAGTTGTAGATATTTTATTGTTTCCCCATTATACCCTATGGCCGGATCTCCGAGGCAGCTCCAAAGCGCTTCGACCCGGACGTGCTGCTTCGGACACCTAGCTCCCCAGATGCAGCCTTGCATCTTGTAGCTGGAAAACAAGGTTGAGACGATGTAACGAGGGCGTGACAAGAAATGACCATGCAGCATGAAGAAATGAAACGCTGAGGTTGGACTGGATGACCTCCTGAGGTCCTTCCAACCCTAATTTTTTATGATTCACGGCACCAAGGTCTGTTACAATGAGTTGTCTGTCTCCCAAGAGAAGTGCTAGAAACCGTGTTGCTGTGAGATTAGACTGGAGCGGGGGAACATGACCATAGCACCAAGCCCAATCTGGCTTTAAAGTTGGGACTGGGTGGTCTGCTGGGATCCCCCATTGCTATGTTCTGGCATGTAGCCCCCCTCCCTTTTCCTGGTAGACTAGAGACCATGGTCCTCTCCCTCTGTGCCAGGTAGACTTCAGATTGTCAGCTAAGGCTCGCATGAGCAGAGTGCATGGATAGATCCTCACAGCTTTCCTTGGCATTTGGCTCAGTGTTGAACTTGAAGGTTTTTTTTCTCTCTCAGGATCTCTGCTTTTTCATAAACAGGCTTACAAATCAAGTGGCCTAGTTTCTGAACAGGTCCAGCTGCAGCAGGCTCCCTTCCCTGCTGCTAATCCCGAAGGAGTGCTCCATGGCGTGCAAGTGGCAGTGGGCAGAGGAGCGCGTTGCTTTTATCCCGTTCTGTTTCTGAACCCGCCGAAGCTGCAGCTCTAGCTATTTTGGTTTGTTGGGGAGGTTTTTTGTGATCTGTGTCTAAGCCACTCGTTGTCATAAATGTTCTGATTTTGGCTGCCTCCGATCACTCTCTAGGTCTTATTTTTCAGAGATGATGACCATCTGCAACTCTTGATGCTTCCAGGGGGGCAGGATTTCTCCTAAGGGCGTGTGTGGAAGATGGTCTGTTCGCAAAGCTCTGCCATGCTGAGCACAGTGACCTTTGCTGTTGATTTTTATGGGGTCAGGATTTCACACTTGTTTCCCCTCTTCCCACCCCCAATCTTCACTCTTGGTTCTTTATGCTGCTGTGTTGGGTCTCTGCTAAAACTATACTCTGAACATCTTGGATGGTGATAAGGTCTAAAATTTTGGAATTCCTTCTGCCTTTTTGATTCCCGCCCCCCATCACCTCCTCCTCAATCTCTGCTTGCTCCTTTGCCTGGGGCGTGGCCAGACTTCTTCCTCACGTTGACCCAGCCTGAGCTGGAGTCCTTACTCGTGTCTTAATCACTTCCTGTCTCGGCTGGTGCAATTCCCTCTCTGACATCTGCAAATCCTTACCTCATTAGCTCTAGTGAGTGCAGGGTCTGCAGTCTACTTCTAGACCTGCCCTAAGCAGCAGGCTCATGTCACCGGCCTCATCTTCTGTCGGCAGCTTTGACAGCGTCCAGTTCCACTTGCCCATTCAGACCTGTCCGTGGTTCTCTCTGCCTGCAACTTTTTCCCCTTCTGCTCATTGTCAGTCCTTGACCTCATTGCTGTTTTAGGTTGTGGTGCTCCATCTATGAGGAATGTCCTGCCTTTGTATGAGTCACTAAGTCATTTCCTTTCTTTTAAATTTCAGCCGCGTCCTAAAATGCTTTGTTCAAAGAGCTGAGCAGGCTATAATGAATCCACAGCCTTATACCGGTGAGGAATAGAGGTTGGAATTATCTTTTGCTCGGGTATTGGAGATGCACCCCCCCACCCCCTCCATGGGCTGACTTGACTGATGCCTACAGTAAATGAATAGCAAAATTAGATTTCAGAAGCTCGTTGTTTGAAGTCTTGTGATGCATCCAGGAGACCAAATTGACTCTGTTTCTCTGCAAAGGTTTTTAGTTGTATAAAGATGCGTAGGGCCTGACTCAGAGGTGCCATGCAACCACAGCCATTGACTTCTGTCAGTGGGGCTCAGCACTAGTAGAAGTCAGGGCTGTACTGAATTGTGCTGTGGCCTGTCTCTCTGAAGCTTTCTAGCTATGCTGTAAATACTTGGGCACTGATGCACCAGACCCCTTCTACCATAGCCTTAGACTAAGTCCACAGCAGTCTTGTGGTGTCTTCCCATGGCTTAAATTTTGGGAATCTTTAGGTGGCACTTCGCAGCTGGGCAGCAGAGTGGTCTGCTAAGTGATCAGTGGGACATCGTTCATCTTGCTGCCCAGGTCTCGTCCTCCTCCAGTGCAGACCAAGGCAGCTTTCCCACTGTGGAACTGGGTGGACTGGTGACAGGTTAATTTTGAATTTTTAAGATTCATGAAGGCATTGATTGACTTTGTTCAGGGGCACTGAATCCCTGGCCTGCAGGCCACAGCTGGCCCACGGAGCTGTGTCCTCCTGTCTGCAGGGCTCTCCGCAGGTCTGGAAATTTAGCAGTGAGGGAACAGAGGCAATGTTCATTGCCATTCCCCAGCTGCCAAATTTCTAGACCGACGAGCAGATATTGCAGCCTTGCATGCTAGATGGGGTGCACGGGACTTGGCCATGCGGGGCTTAGGTGGCAGCCCCATGCCGCTCAACCAGACTGCAGGACAGAAAAGTTTAGCACCAGTGACCCCGTGTAAACTTGGCTTGGGAGTTTTGGACCCACACCCCTTATTAATGTTCATGTACTCATAGTCTGATAGTACAGGAAGTCCTCAGCTGAGACCAGGTCCCTATTGTGCTAAATGCTGTATGGGCTGAAGGTAAGGTTTGGTTCCTGATCTGGAGAATATAATGTTTCCTTTGTCTGCCTGGATTTTCCCCTCCTTTTACAAGAAGCACCAGATTTGCTAGACTGTGATTGCTTGGGTCATGTAGACGGGACAGAGGGTTGAGGTGGGAATGGGTTTGGTTTCCAAAATCCCAGCCTAAGCCTTGACCATACGAGTCCCCTTCCCAGGCAGTACTGTTTCTGAGTTTGTGTTTCTCTTCTCTCCAGGTCTGTGAAGATGGAAGAAGGGGTCCATCAGCTAGAAGCCTGACTTGGTGACGCTGGGAAAATCTTCCATCTCTTGGTAGCTGCTTGCCTGAAATACAGAACAAGACAAATATGCTGAAGCCAAGTGGACTTAAAATCCCTGGCAGGGCAGGGAAACACTCCAGCCCGGTGGGACGGACTTCCGGGACAGTTACAGCTGCTGTCACCACCAGCTCTAAGGAAGGTAAGAACTGGATTTGGCTGGGGGTGACCTAAACATGAGGAAGTTTTGGTTTAAAAAAATAATGGCTAAGGTCACCTGCCTTTAAAATCCCTCACTCCTGTTTCTCATGTTGACCTAGGAGGTTTACCCTGGATACTTATCAAAAGCAAATGGAGTGAGGGCCTTGTGTTGCCCTCTAAAAACTGATCTGCAAAGCAGACAGGACCTGTTGCTGATGCCTGGGGAAAAAACCCCCATAGTTAATTAAAACTTATAATGCTAAGAGCTGAAGAAACAGTCCCAGTCCTGTCCTGCATGCAGGTGTGTGAGCAGGATTAATTTAGTGATTGCATCTGGCTGAAGCACTTGGGAACACTGGATAAATAGCTCTTTTTCTCTCTGTGGAGCTTACAGATTTAAAGCCAATGGTATGTTTTTAATCAGAACGTCATGCAGTGGCTTCAGTGATTGCAATGCAGTTTGACAAGATGTGAGGATACGTGTATGTATGTATGTTTGAAGAAATGCTGGCTGGACAGCACTGCTTGTATACGATTCAATGCTGATTTACAGGACTGATGCCTTTAGCTTGTAATGCAAGAGTATGCTTGCAGTACCCAGGGTGGGAAGTTTTCTGACCCTTGCCTTCTGGAGAAGGTTGGGGTTTTTGTGATAATCTTGAGTCAATGCCACAGTTTTTGGCAGAATCATTGTTGTTGTGCCCTACATATGTTTTAGACATCCATACTCCATAAAAGATATACGGATTAGAATGACCAGGGTCAGCGTATTGCATATGGAAAACCTTCATTGAGGCCTTCAACTTCCAGTTTGTCTGTTTCTTTCCCTGATTCCTGCTTTTTGTTGTTAAGCAAATTAAGACAAATGATGGAGAGATGAAAGCCGCTTCCATTTTAAAACAATTGAATCAAAATTTGAGAGAAACCCCAGGCATGCATGGGACGGAGGAGGGCTCTGTAGGGGCTGCCATGCCCTCTGCTGACAATCCTCTCACTATAGTGAGTTTTCCACTGCATGGTTTAGTACCTCTCCACTTTAACGTGTTTGCTTTTGAGAACTTTATTTTAAACTTGGAGACTGTCTAGTTCCTAGAGCGTTTGGTAACTGCAGTTATCTTCTGTCTCTTTGGAAAAGAGTATCTTGGGGTGCAAGGGTGCATTGAACTTGGTGTAGCTGAGAAGCATCATCCTGCCATGGAAATGTGTGCAGGTTCAGGGCCTTCACTGACAAAGATCTGCTTTGCCATGGTAAAGTTAATTGGTCTGGGATGGTGCTATCTGAAAAATAAAGGAAACCATGCAACAATAAGTTTTGTGAGGGCAGCACAGGCATGTTACTTAAAACAATCTTTGTGAGGTTGTATAAATGTATGTTTGTCTCTTGAACTCTGCAGCGCGAGCTGGGGTTTAGACAGCAACACTTGCATGGGCTTCTCGGACAAAGAGTCCCTCTCTGAGTGACCCTGACTGTGACACTCCTGCTATTTCAGTGACGCTAATTGATTCGGGGACCCTTTTGGCTGATACTTCTGTTTCTGGCATCACCCTCCCAATGGTGCCACAGAGTTGTAAAAACCTTGGAGTTTAACTTGCTTCTCTTCATGAGTGAGATGACAGACTGCCAAGTTTTACACTGGCCTGTGGACCGGATGCTCAGTGAGTATAAAGCAGTCTTGGTGCCAGTGGAGCATCACTGATTTCTACCCGCTGAGGATTTTGGTCCTTGCTGTTGTGTGAAAAAACTCAAACGCAGACAACGCTGCGGTTGAGAGATGCGTACGTCAGTAAGGTCACTTATTTAACTTTAGGATCTGTCTCTTGCAATCCGATAAAATGAAAAGTTTCCGTGTGCCTGCTTAGTAGGGTGAACACACAGTTGGGCAGAGGACATCCTCAGTGCAGCAGTCCCCCTCCTCCCCCCGCAGTGGTCTCCATGTTGTACGTCAGACTGATGCGTTAATCCCACGGGCTCGAATCTGATACCCTTTTTCCTGTTTAGCAGCACATTTGTCTGCGAACAGTTCCGTTGACTTTCACAGTGATACCCTTATGCTCAATAGTATCTGAAGTTGCCTCTAAAGAACCAAGTACAGTTATGGGGCAAAATACACCTCTGGTGTTGTCCGTCTTACCTCTGTGGCAGAGAGATGAGCTGCAATGTGTCTTGCTCTAAGGGTTTGACCATGTCTTGCTGTAAGGATCAGGCAGGATGGGGTGTCTATCTTCCCTTGATAAGTAACTGCATTAAACAGATCCCAGCCTTCCTCTTCTTCTTTGGTGCTGTCAGCCCAGAGCTGCCCCAGTGTTAGACCTGCATTGGAGTGTGTGGTGCAGCTTGAAAGGGCTTGACGACACGCAAGGGTATCTGAAGAAACGGCTGGACCAGCGAAAGCACTGCTTGTACACGATTAAATGCTGATTTACAGGAGTGATGCCTTGAGCATGCAGTAATACCTGGAGTGTGCGGTGCAGCATGAACGATAACAAATGGCCCGATGCTCTGACACGACCATTCAGCTGAGCCTGGTGCATGTTTACTGGAGCTTTTCTGTGCTGCTGTCTGCCGGAGCCATCCATCACGGTGATAAATGTGCCACCCGGGCAGGCTGAGCACTGGCAGAAAGCAGGCCTGGGCTCAGCTTGACCTCTGCATGGGACGGTTGGAAGCAAGTTTTATTTCTCAAAAAAACCCCTAGTGTGGTGAGGTGGGGAATTCTGCAGTTCTCTCTGGGGAAGGCGAGCAATGTCAGCACTTTGCAGGGGCTGCCTGTGGGTCAGGCAGGAAGGAGAGGGCTTGCTTGGTGATCTTGTGCCTGCAGTACTGTCAGCTGCAGTTGTCTCTGGCATTGGACGGGTTATTGCTCCCACGTTGCTGCCACTTCTGCAGGCCCTGATAGCAGGCAGCTGAGGAAGGTGCTTTCTGGCTCTGTAACTAGAAAGCTGTCTAACTGGTCATGGTTGAGAACAGTTCCTGGTGGGGACCAGGCACAGGCTGAGTAGGCAGCACTGATAAGACTTGTGCTATGGCTTGGCGTCACACTCCCAGTTGCTCCCCTTTGCAGGTTCCTACTTATGTGGATGCATCGCAGCCCTGTCCCTTGTGTCTCCTACCTTGGTGTGGAAGAAAGGGACACGGAGGAGCCAGCTCACAAATATGTGACTTAAGCTGGCAATGCCATCTCCAGATGTTTCTGGAACAGCAAGGAGGATTTCCCACTTGTACATTGGCTTGTTTCATGTTGTCTGGCTAAGAAGTGATCCAAGGAGGCCGGTAGGCAGTCCAAAAGGCCTGAGCATCAATCTCAGTACAAGCTCCCAAGTCAGCCTTTGTTGCTTACCAAACTTGTGCATCTTGCAGGCCTGTGTTTTTTGTGTGGGTTTCCCCCTCCCCCCCAGCCCCCTCCCAAAAGCACCTCCTTTTGCCTCCAGCATGTTAAGAGTTGTATGAGCAAATACGCAGCAGCGATGAATGGGCCCATGCAACTCTCACAGCTGGGGGAACAGGTGAAGGCGTCTGGGAATGGAAGCGTTCACATTTCATTTCCTCAAACCAGCAATAAAGTCACTTGGTGAGTGGGGGAAACCTTTCCCTTCCTACCGCATTCCCCTGTCAGCTGGCTGTGGGGCTCATTTACAAGGAGTGCTATGGTCCAAAAATCCCCTCGGGGATTAGAGAACTTCTGGGAAGAGACAGAAAGGGGAAAATCGATGTGTTCAGAGCTCTGGTGGTGCTCAAAGGATATGGGCCCTGACCCTTGGGTATATTTAGAGTCCAAATTCAGAGTAGCTCTGAAAAAACAGCAGGGCCCAGCTGCAAACAAGTATGCAAATCCCCAAACACCCCCATGTTCTGGAGGGTCTGACATCTGGATCCAAACTATTTGCAACTGGAGGCCAGCCGTACTGCCAGGAACTAGGCTGGTACTTGGGGCAGCACAGGAGAATTGTGCCTAATTTGCACATAAATGCACATACATTATTTTCAATGAAAATTTAATGCATGGAACCATAGCACTTGCTTATGATTCTGTCCTCTTTGATAGATGTTTCTTGATGGCTTTGTTCACCAGCACTGACAGCAAAACAACTCACAGCATTCATGGAGCCATTAGAGAGGAATAGCCGACTTGGGCTCTGGCTTGGTAGAATAATTATTCTCTGTGGGTTGTACTGAAGGTTTTGTAAACCCGTGCGGTTCCAGGCTGGGGGTAACTGGATGCAGAGTTATTTGCTTTTAGCTAATGGTTCCAGATCAGCCCAAGACGTTAGTAAATGGAAGTCATCTTTATCTGACGTGAGTGTTCAGTATCCCTGTGCAGTAGGCTACAGTCACAATGTATCTTAAGGATGTTAGGACCCACATCTCCTTTCCGATAGATGTGCACTATGTAGCTTGAATAGCTGCTATACATTCATAGATGCTAGGGTTGGAAGGGACTTGATCAGATCATCAAGTCTGACCCCCTGCCCAGGCAGGAAAGAGCCAGATGCCTATCCAGCCTTCTCTTAAAGACCTCCAAGGTAGGGCAGATGTGTAGATGGACTTCATGTACAAATTACAGGGCAAAGTTTTGTGGCTTGTGGTATGCTGGAGTCCAGACTAGAGGATTAAAGCGGTCCCTTCCATCCATAAATCTGTGAGTGAGCAGAAACTCCTGTTGCCATCGGTGCTGTTTGGTTCCTTTCTATTGGCACTCTGAGCAAAGGGGCCAAAGACTGAATGAGACATGGAAACAACAGCCCCCGTTGTTCCTCTCAGGATAGTGAGAGGCACAGGAGGCACCTATACACATGCAGGGAGGCTGCTCCGACATGCTGTAATTACAGTGCGTCGGAGCAGACTTGCTTAATCAAGTCTGCTGGAGTGTGGTAATTACCGCGCTCCAGTGGACTGCAGTGTCATGTGCATCAGCGTCCTTGCACTGAAAAATGACGGCAGGGGCACTTTGAACTAAAGCTGCTTTAGTTCAAAGTGCCCTGCTGCAATTTTTTAGCACGGGG